CAGCCAGGACTGACCTCCTGGTGCCCCTCTGAGACTGTCTTTTGGGGGCAACAGGAGGAAACTCACTTTTAAGGTCTTTCTTGGGGTAAGGCTTGATACTAGGCAGATCTGTTGATTCTTTTAATTATTGGGGAAACTGAACCCTAGGAGGCTAAATGATATGCCCATGTTGGTGCAAATCTAAGCGACAAGCCGGAGCCCTAGTACCCAGAGTCTCCGTCTTCCATCTTTGTGGATCTTTGTATCCAACTAATAGTACCCACTGGCCACAGAGGGATGGGGGAAGGACACTGGGCAGCACACAGTTGTCTCTTTTCCTTGGGTCCCAGAGGGAGGTGGTGGTAGTGGTGATGGAGACTAACTGTGGAAGAGGCTCTGCCAGGCCTCTGACTGATCCCCATCTGCATGGTCACATTGGATTGGGTAGCCTTGTGACCTCCACAGGAGCCATTGTGGTTGGTGGAGGGAAATAAGTTTGATTGTTCTTACCAGAAAAAAAAAAAAAACAAAAAAAACCCAGTGTCTAAGTAGCAACAATCGCGGGGTGGGTTGGGGTTACAGGAAAGGGAGATAAGGAGTGGGGTAGGCCTGGAACTAGAAGGGGTTGGCAAGAAGCTGGTTTTGTTTTTAAGGTAGGAGAGGTGCCAGCATGTTCTCCCACTGTGGAGAGTGACCCAGGAATGGGCGGAAGTCAGAAGACTCAGTGATATTTGGACAGCAGTTCTTGGTTGGTTCCCCTAGGCCCCTGGAATGGAGGGAAGTGTCTTTGCAGGAGGGAGCAGACCCAGGTACCAGTCCTTTCAATACAGGGAAGGCTGGGAGCACAGGAGTAGGGAGCACTGGAGTACAGGGTGAGGGACTCCCCATGTAGCTTCCAGAAGCTGCAGGTGTGGGGAGCAGGTGCTTTGGTTAGAGGCTTTGGAAGGAGTAGGCAGATTCTTCTGTCCTGCCTGCCAGCTCCCAGATAACCACACAGAAACTTATTACTAATTATAAAATCTCAGCTAGGCTTGTTTCTAACTAGTTCTTATAACTTATATCAACTCATATCTTTTAATCTATGTTCTTTTACATGGCTCAGTTAACTTTACTTTGCATAACCCATGCTGCTTGCTCTGCATCCCTGGTGTCTCCTTGTGACTTCGCCCTTCTTCTTCTTCCCAGCATCCTCTCTGCCTTGAAAAATCCTGCCTAGCTGTTGGCTGTTTGGCTTTTTATTAAACCAGTCTGAGTGACACATCTCCACAATGTACCAAAAGATTATTCCACAACAGGAAGAGGAGAAGGGAACTGTTTGAGAAGGGAATTTAGTGAAATTGGGCATATCACTGACAGACCACAGGAGAAGGCAGGTCACGTGAACTGAGCCTCAGAGTTTGGGAAGTGTATGTTTATCTATTGTTTATTGTGGTAGAAGAGAGGCAGGGAGGAAATTCTGGGTGCTGTTATCTAGAAGTAGTGATGTTTGTCACTAAGATTTTTCTTCGAGGGACTTAGTTCTGTTTTCTAAATATTTTAATATGACCATTATTGATTTAATGATCACTGAAATAGTATTTAAACATGAAACAGCTGAAGAAATCATTTAGGGTAAGAAAGACTCATGGCTGCATACCAATTGTCCTCAGGTATTTGGAGAAGGTGAAGGGACAGAGTGCTTTTGGGCGCTGTGTGTTTGTTCTTGGGCACACGAAGATCACTTGGCAAGATGGGGTGGAGGCAGGCCTTCGGGCCAGGGTGCTCCATGGAGCAGGGTGCTCTGTGCAGGGGATGATGCAACATTGTTAGCTTTCCATCACTGTGGTAAAGTATCGAGACAGCTCACTCTCAGGGAGGAAAGGCAAGCGGATGGTAGAAGGAACTGTTTACCTCAAGGTGGCCAGGAAGCTAAGAGAAAGGAAGAAAGGCTTGGTTACCAAGCCTAACATCCCCTTTAAAGATACTCCCACAATGGCCAGCCTTCTTCCTAGGAGGCCACGCCTCCTAAAGCCTTCACTCTGTTCCCAAAGCACTATGGGATAGGGGCCAAGCCTATGGCACATGACCTTTCACGGATCATTCAAAGTCCAAACCATAGTGGTGATGATGGAGGATGATGGCGGTGATGATGGAGGATGATGGCGGTGATATTTACAGTAATAATGGAGATGTTGATAGGGGACCATGGGGGTGGCTATGAACTTTAACATATTCATGTTATTTTAGCAGGGCAGCAACATTCATTTCTTTAAAACATTTTTTATTATATTTATTTATGTGCATGTAAGGCAATGCATATTCCGTGGTGCACATGGGGAGATAAAGGGCATCTTATGGGAGTTGGCTCCCTCCTACCATGTGGGGTCCAGGGATGGAACTCAAGTTGCCAGGCTTGGTGGCAAGTGCCTTTATGGGATGAGCCATCTTTATGTCCTGCAAACATTTCATTCCTATGTTCAGCGTCTACCGGCACTGACTCTCCAGAAAGTGCTCGGCTGTTACCACATCCCGCGGTGAGTAAGACTAAGAAAACATTGTGGTCTCTGTTGGCTAGAGACAGAGTTGGAACTTGACACAGACCTCCCCAGCCTAGGATTCCATCTCCTTGATCTGGAGAGTTAGCCTCTTCTGTAGACCAATAGCACCCAGAAAAGCATGACTGTAGACCCAGCATGCAGGCTTAGGACCTGAACCACATGGGATGAGGAACAGGTTTGCAGCCCTTGACATTCCAGGACCCTCTTCTGGCTTTTGTTGTTATTTCTACTTCTCCAGATCTGAAAAATGGTTGCTTCCTTGGACCCTTGATGGCTCAGCCCTGCAGTTCTGTATCTGCCTTCTCAGCCTGCAGCTCTGTATTTGTCTTCTCAGCCTGCAGTTCTGTATCTACCTTCTCAGCCTGCAGTTCTGTATCTGCCTTCTCAGCCTGCAGCTCTGTATCTGTCTTCTCAACGTTGCCCCTGTTGCAGTCACATTACCCTGAACATAGCCCCTCCCCGATGCCATACTCCCTACCTTGGTACCTTGTTCTGGAGGGACTCTCTGGCCATCACCCAAGCTGGAGCACTGGACTCCAAGTCCTCCACAGCTGCCAGGTTGCCCTCACTGCCCTATGCCCCTCAGCATGAGCACCCGGTATTCAGTGTAGTTGGTTCTTGCCCCTTACTCTGCCCCTATGCCATGTTTGGGACCCTGTAGGGCTTCTAAGGTCCTGATCTCTTCCACTGCATCTCCCTTACTCTGGATGCATTTTCATTTCTCCCTCTGGAGTTTGCAATCTGATTCAGCACCCCAAGTCTTTGTTTGCTGCCTTGACTGGCCTTCTCTTTTCTTCACAGAGAAGCTCCACTCTTTCTTAGTGCCCAGGACGGGCACCGGTCTGCAAGGTGACTGCCTAATTCTGTCTTGGGTACCACAGCCCTGATTGCCCTTTCCTGTAATTCTCGGATGGCTGGGACAGCTCGGGGTCTCTGTCGCAACTTTTTTTTTAAACACTAGTTATAGTGGAGGGCGGGGGTGATGTCCCTCCATCTGGCACAGAGCAGGTGCTCAGGGTGCTTGTTGGGTGTAGAAGGGCTAAGATCGCCCTCATTCGGCAAACATGTGTTGTGAGCCTCTGCACCCAGCCAAGTGTTGAAGCCCAAAGCCTGCAGGCAAATGGCAGGAGGGTGGTGGGCTGACACACTGCGGGGGATTCTGCACTCTGGGCTTGAATGAGTGAAGTGTGGCCAAGGGCCTGCATCCCCAGCTGCTCGGGGCACGCAGGCTGCTCTGCTGCTGTGCTGACAGGACACCAGAGGGCTTGGCGGGAGCCACGTCTCAGGCTGTTGGCAGCAGCCACCACCGTTGAGAGGAGCACGCAGCCTCTCTGTGTGAGCTGAACGGAGGTCTGCGGGGACGGGAGAGGGAGCTGCTGAGCAGCTCTCGGGTGCCTGCTTTCTCTCATCAAAGGCTCAGCTGGGTAGCGAGGGCACAGGGAATAGATGAAGGCTGGCTGGGTGAAGCTAGCATCGCTATTAAGCAACAGTCCCAGATCTCTTTGTTTCTCTGCTCCTTCCAAAGTGGCAAAAGATCAAGGCCCTGAGCTTGAAATAACAAAAGGGAAATAGCTTTCAGACTGTGCATCTGGAGGCCAGAAGGACTGCGAGAGCTGTGCACAGAGGGATGGGGGAGGGGTGGGGTCTGGACCTGATTCATAAACTTCTCTGTGCTCCCATGGCCTGGCAGGATGGGCTGAGGCTGCTCTGGTATAGCTATACCTTTCACTGGCAGTGGGGCCTCGTTGCAACACCCCGCTCTTGGGCTTTGGGACCCCAGTGCTGGCTGGGTCTGTATGCAGATTCTGGCCACATCACTGGCTTGTCACTGCCGACCTCCTCAGGTCCTGAATGCTTGGTTTGGGTCACATCCTGTGGCTGAGGTTAATGAAGATCTAATGCAGAGTCCCAAGCCTAGCCAATGACATGTGCAGTCACCTGTCTGTGATTACCAGGGCCTGAGAAAAGTCAGTTTACAGAGCACTGCAGACTTCTCCTGGGGCGAGGGTATCATATGCAGGGCACTACCCCCACCCCCGGGGCCCTGAGTCAGAGCATGGGCTCTGTGGGGACCGACTTCAGTGAAGTTAGCCCACCTGCTGGTCTGCCCCAGAGTTAGGACTTACAGAAGGGTTTGCCCAGCATCCTGTCCTCGGGGCTGAAGTGTTCTTTGCAGAGTCAGCAGGAAAGGGAGCTGGAGTTCTTGGGAAGTGGGGAGAGCAGGGATTTCTTGTTGTCTACACACCTTGGAACACTCAAAAGTCAACTAGCATGAGTATGGGGGACATCCACCTCCAAGTGGGAGCTGAGACTAACTCGATGCTGCCGCTGACCGAGACTCGGCTTCCAGGCACGGCATACTTGCTTACATCCTATGCCTGGCCAGGTGGATTGCCTGTCCTCATCACAAACAGCTGGTGTTGGGAGACAGTGGATGTTTGTCTAAGGTTGCACCGATGGCCAATCAAAGCTGGGATTCGAATCTAAACCTCCTGACAACCAACTGTGGCCCTTTCCAGAATCCTTGCCTCCCGAGAGCTCAAGTAGGTCAAGCCTTTTCTCAGAAAGCCGTCTTTCTACAATGCTGTATGGATCCCATCACATCCCACTTCAAAGCTGGCAGCGGCCCTTGTCTTTAGAGGTTCTTTTGGATACTGGGGTGACAGATGACCAGGGTGCTGGAAAAGTTCGTGGATCAGCCCTCAGTGGGACATGGCAGAGGCAGGTTATTGATTGGCCATGTGTGTCTTGTCAGCTGTCCAGGGTCCTGGATGTCTGCTGAGGGTCCAGGCACTGGGTGAGTCCTGACTGTACAATATTCTAGCCAGACCACTGGTAGGAGGTGCTGCTGCAGGGGTGCGGGTGGGTGGATGGAGGGAGGCGGGGCTTCTCGGAAGCTGTTTCAGCAGCACCAATGCTGGTGGGAATAAGAGTGAGTAGAATAAAGCTTCAGTATGGCAAGCTGGAGGGAGCATTAGAGGAGGCTCCCGGGGACACCTGCTCCAGACCCAGACCACATTCTGTCTCCCTCCCATGATGCCTTGGGTCTGGCATCATGAGGCCTCCTTAAGTCTCTGTTCTCAGAGCCTGGGGAAGTATAGCCTCATTTCCTGATTTATTTTCTCATTTTTAGTGGGATTTGTGTCAGGGGTTATATACTCTTTAGTCTGCCAGGGTGAAACAGAAGTCAACTGACTGTCAATGTCAGGGGGGAAATGCAATGTAAGTAATCAGGAGTACAGACTTGCTTACACAGTGACACTTTTTGTGGCAGGCTAGTGTTTTGAGAGGCTGAGTCCTTCTGCTCTGGGGTTCCTGTTGCTTCCTTCGTGACGGGCTTTCACACTGCAGCGGGAAGAGCCAGGGCCTCAGAGAGTGGATGTCCCCGATCTGGGAGAGCGGGGCACTCCGTGCAGCTGTGGACACCGGCTTGGGGCTTCCACTGTTGCAGGACAAGTGACTGATGTGGCAGGTGCCCTCCCCTGCCTAGCATCCTCAGTGGACTGCAGTCAGATCGATCTGAGTTGGGGTTTTCCAGCTCAATGGCCTCAGTGCTGCTGCGGCTCGAAGGATGTTGTGTCTTAATCTTGGCTTGGCTTTCCAGGGGCTGATGTTGGTGGGCTTCTGCCCATAGCGTAGAGGCTTTCCCACCACGGCGATCATCTTCTCTCCAGTTTTCCTCATCAGATGGGGTTGGTATACCCCCCTGGCCTTTCTCAGGAAACCTTTGTTACCTGTGAGTCTTGACTCTTGGTGTTTGTAAGGTTTCTGGAGCTTCCAGAATATGCTGCCTTGGAACAAGGTTCCTGTCCCTCAAGGTGATGAAGTGACCACACACAACTCCTTCAGACATGCTGACCCTCTCAGCACTTCTAGGCCAATGAACGCAGCTGTCATGAAAGCACGGTCCGTGTGAGGGTGCCACAGGGTAGGGCATGTTTCCCATTGGAGGGTGGTGGATTTTAAATAAGGAAGGGGACCTGAGCAGTGCACTCTGGGCAATCATCTGTCCACGGGGAACATGTTTACCTAAAAGTTAACATTCCTTGACTAATGTCTAAGAAAGACAGACTGAACAGTCCCAGAAGGACATTCGGGGAGATATTTTGAGGCAAGGCCTAGAAGTAGTTGATATTAAGAATGAGCCAGGACCAACCATGATCTGTCATAGCTTACCTGGAGGTAGCCTGTTACTTCCTCTGCTGTGTGCTCCATGCAGGGCTGCACATTCTACTCCATGTGGACTAGCAGGGACCCATATTGGCTGAAATTCTTCTATTTGGGATGGCCCAGTTGGGGAAGCGTCTACTTGAGGGTCACACGCTAACTTCCTTATGTTTTGACTCAGACAGAATATGCATCACTCCCACCCATTGATTAGAACTGCTCATGTAACTCAGCTGTATGGCAAGGGGTGGGGGCAATGGAGGGATCCAGGTGAACATTTGTGAACCACATAGTTCCTGCTACAAATTCTATGCCAACGCGCTGAAACACATAAAACTGAAATGGAATGAATGGCTGTCTTAGCAAGTTCAGGTTAGCAGAACTGATCTGAGATGCATATCAGGAGAGATGCATAGTAAACAATGGAGGATGATGAGAAAGGTTTTACCTGTGGGGACTGGGTCCCACGCTTGTGGTGTTCTTGATGGATAGTGTGTCTGTGTTCGAGCGCACATGCATGCATGCATGCATGAGAGAGAGAGGGGGGAGAGGGAGAGGGAGAGAGAGTCCTAGAATCAACTTGGGGATGGGTACCAGTTATGCAAGAAGTTATACAGAAGGGGAAGGGGAGTGCTGTGTTAAGGACATGGATACCCTGTCTTGCTCTCCAGTTCTTTCAAATCTAGAGAACATATCCTTGGGTCTGGTGCCTTCAACCATGGAAGCTCATTCCCGGGGATGGTCTTCTCAACACAAGAGTGCAGCAGGGAAGAGGTGACGCCCCACTCGGGAAGTGGGGTGCTGTTACATTGGGGGAAGAGAGAAGCTTGAAAGCCAAGAGGAATATCCAGTGGCCACCAGACTGTGGAAACTGTTGGAGAATGTGACAAAGAGCCATGATCAGCTCATGTGCCATTGTAAGGGGCTAAGGGCATCACAGGAAAGCAGATGCTATGATTCAGGCCTGGTGGTGCATGCCAGTGGTCCCAGCTACTTGAGAGGCTGAGGTAGGGGGATTGCAAAGCCATCCTACCTACATAGCAAATCACTGTCACAGTGTCTTTAAAAAAGGGGAAATAAATGCTTGTAGGAATGAATATATTTAGAGTTTATGATCCAGAGTTCAAGGCTATGGGGCACCTGCTGTGTTGGGCAGGGGGACGGGCATATGTATCTTCGTCATCACAGTGCTGTAGAAGCCCACCTCCTTGTCAGCCACCCTTGCCACTGAGCCTAGTTAGCCGTGTCTGGCTGTGTGGGAGCAGAGAGCTGACTCGAGCATTTTCCAAATGCAGAAATGGACACAATGACGTCTTGAAGGGGCAGGTGAGGTCAGCCTGCCAGGGAATCTGGAGCAAATGCCAGTTCATAGGATCTAGGATGGCAGAGAGCAGAGATTTTGAAAAGTAAGAGGTCCATTTTAGATCTTCCTTAGAGGGGCCTGGTGCATCTTCTTGAACATGAGTGCTGGAAGGGCCTGCCTGGTAGATAGTTCTCCCTTGGAGCTGGCCAGGTCTTGTTAGCTAGGCTTACATAGGAATCCTGGACTCTTAATGGAGAAATTCAGTCCCCATGTCCCATCTTTCTGTTCTCGGAGGCTCTGCAACCGCTACACTATCCTACCCAAAGCAGAGAGGGACAGCATCTAAAATAAGTCCCTGTGTAGCCTGGATGACTGGGGACAGAAAGGCCAGGAGAGGAGGGCCGGTGCCCCTGAGTCCTAACTGTGCGAATCCAGTCAGCAGCAACCAAGAACCTTTGGCTCTCCACAAGCTCCACGCTGGAGTGTCTACACACGGCCACTCCTTGTTTGTCTGGAGACATAGCTGTCTGCAAAACACCCTGGGAGCCCACAGCAAAGAGCATTCCAAATGCACGTGGTGCCTCTGAGTTTATTTGTCTCAATTTATTCCAGTTACATGGGAGCACAGTGTGATTATACATCTCCCGCTGACTGCAGCCCATGGCCTGTGTGGTGATGGTGGTGATGGTGGTGGTGGTGGGGAGTGTGGGGGTGGGGAGAAGTGTTTCCTAGCTCCATCTAATTTAAAGCACCTTGATCTGAGCGAGGCAGCGAAGAGGATGTGGCTAAAACAAATAAAAATCATGGCAGGATCAAAGCGCACGCACAAATGCATTCCTTCTGGAAGCCGCATCTCTTTTTCTTCCTCACCCCTGCCCCCAGTCTCCCTCCTACCAGTCCCTAGCGATTCTTGGTGGCAAACAGCCAACATGTCCTTTGCTCCTCCGAGCCCTGGCAGCATTTTGATTCTGACTGACGGGGCGAGGGTACAGCGCCACGGCCGGTTTGAAGGAGATCTGAGGCCTTCCTGATTCCATGACGGGCGTGAATAAATAGTGTGAAGTGCCACACTAATTAGAGCTTTTTATGAACAGTTCAAAGACAGACATGTTGGTGAGGGCTTGTTTGAAGCCCAGAGCCCAGGGACTTCAGGATTTTATCAATGACCTGCAGCTTCCATCCCCTGGACCCAGCATGTGGCGACACACAGTGCCTGGATGCTGCTGGATGGAATTTTCTGTGAGGATCCCATTGGGGAGCAAGCTCTGACGCCACCCAATCCTGATTTCAGTGTTGCCATTAATGTGGCTGATGAGAGTATGTGGCTCACCCAGAGCTCCTGAAGAAAACACACCTTGACTGGAGGTCTTGGGTGGCTCAGGCCTCAGGTGGTTATGAGAGCGCAGATGGGATGAGACTGGGTGTGGGGCATGTTAGCACTTATGATGGGAAGCTATGGGGCCTACCTTAGTGCATCTAATATTTCCCCCCTTTCTGCCCCGTGCTTCTTCCTGGATCCTACCTGTTGGTGACTCTTCTTGCAAAAGCCTCAAGCTGCCCAGGCCCACATTATCCCTCTCTGTCAATAGAGAAGACAGAACCTCTCAGCAGCCACTACACAGCTAATCTTAGGGCAGGAGTTTGATCGGTCATGTTCAGTCACGTGTCCAGTCTTGGCTCAATACTGTGCTCAGAAACGTGGAGTCTGTGATTGGCTAGGTTGGATTACATGCTCATCTGAAGTATGGCAAGGCAGCGGGAACTGTGATTGTCAGTCCCAGCAAAGTCATGTGTGTCTGAAGTAGGCACTCTTGTCTAGTTATAAGAGAGGTCATGGGCAGTAAATAGACAGCCATTCAAGGCTTGGAGCTTGTTTACCTTGTCCAATCGGAGTGCTAAGCAAACCTTGTTAATATTCTCTGAAGAAAAGGGACCTGGGGACAATAGACTGAGGGCTGCCTCTCTGAATATCTCAAGTGTTCGTCACTTGTGGCTCTTGGTTTCAAGGATTTTAGTCCATGGTCAGTTGGCTCTATTGCTGTGGGCCTGTGAGGAGGCAGGATGTCATTTTGGAGTGACATTATGTGTGTGCTCAGGCTGGAACTCAGGATGAATGGTCAGTGTGGATGGAGAGACAGGACTCCAGGCACCAGGGAATTCACACACGGGTCAGACTGGGATATAGGATAGGAATACCCAGCCGTGGAGCAGGCTCTTCCTGAATCCTCCCAGGCAGGTGACTTCAGAATTTGGCCAAATCAAATAAAATGTATCCAAAGGCTCATTTTCCCTCCTAGGATTTCACAAGCCAAGGAGCCTCAGGAAGGGTGGGAAACACTCAATATTATGAAATACATCCCCTCCCCAAGACACTCATGGTTGAACGCTCAATGGAGGTGGGCGGTACTCTTGAGAGGTGACCAGATTGTGAGGCTTCAGCTTTATCAATGAGGTAATTCATTGATGACGTCATCGCTGAATGGACCCTTAGACCACAGGGCTTGGCTAGAGGAAGTGGGTCACTAGGGGTGTGACTGTGAGGCATGCGTCTTGTCTGTAGGCCTTTCCTCCCATCTTTCTGTGTCCTGGCTACCACAGTGTGAGCACTGTCCTTTCAATGTATTTGAGAAGACAGAAAGAAAAGCAGACAGCATAGCAAAGCATAAAGCCATAGTACAGAGGGAACCCGGGAAGTGTGGGCATAGAAAGGCTAAATAAGGTCATGGAAAGAAAGCCCACTGTACTAAGATAGTAACCTGGATCCCGCTGTACCTGTTGCTTGTACCACAAACTGGGTCCACACTCTTGCTCTTCTCAGGTCTCAGCTTCTCTCAGCTGCAGCAGCAGGCACAGGGACATCTGCCTAGATGCCCGTTCCTCCCCAGCTGCCAGGAGTGGGAAGCATGAGGCATCCATCTGATGGTTCTCTGGGGTCTGCCCATTGAAGTCATAGGTAGGGCTCATGGCACATCACATGTGACCATTCTGATGAGGCTGAAGACAGAGACCAGGCTCCCTGGGTCCAAAGTGGGCACGGAGACCAGCATGGCCTGTTCTGGAGCTCCACGGAAGCAGCTAGGGTGCCAGGTAGGCTCCAGTTTAACTCCTCCCTCCGCTTCGTCCTGTTGTCCTCTCTTCCCATGATCCCCTGCACTTGGACCTTCAGCTCAGCTTCTGCTTCTGAAGAGTCCCATGTACCAGGCTGACTCTCCCACAACAGACCCTCCACCCGTGACACGCTTGACCCCTCCAGGTTCTCTACCCGTGAGGCTGCCTCTTTCTCTAGGCCCCATACTTGTGAGGCTCTTTCTTTTCCCAGGTTAGAGGCCTGGGACAAAACAGAATATAAGCATGAAATGCTTTTCTAGAGGTTTCCAGAGAGCAAGGACTATGTGGCAATGGATGCTGCCGCCAGGAAGGCTTCCTGCTGTGACCACACTATCCCCTTATAGGGTTACCTTAAGGACCGTCGTCCTAGGCAAACTCATCTCAGGAGCCCCCGTGGAAAAGGGGCCTGCTGGGATGCTGTCCACGTGCATCTCATGTAGGCTCCCTGGGCCAGTCCACAGGGAGGGAAGCAGACATCCCCAAGAGGAGACCCCCATGACATGCTTACAAAATAAGTTCCCAAGATTGTCTGTCCAATGTGTTTTGAGCAAATACATGGTCCAGGCACCACCCCTGGCCCTGTGTGAAGAAAGACTTGCTCACAGGGCTCATAGCCTTTCCACAGAGGTAGACGTCATGTTCCCAGACCTGAGGCGAACCAGCTGTCTGGGCATGAAGAGAAAGCCCCCATAGGGCAGGCTGGCTCTCGGCCACAGAAGCCCCTAGGGGTGTAGCTGGCTTGAGGAGAGGGTGGTGTCTCCCCGCTGCCCCACTTCTTCTGGTTTTCCAAGGCTTAAAATTAGTCCTGTATTTGGGGGACGGGGGCAGGAAAGAGGCCGCCCTAGGGAGGAGCTGTGGGCTGGATGTGGGTGTAGCCAGGGCTAGGCAGTGTCCCTAGAAGTAGGTCACCGTGGAAGGGCAGGTCAGGGTGGTCCCGACCAGCTTCCTGACTGAATCAGAGTTCGTTATAGATCAGGGACATCAGGTTAGTCTCTGTTTATCTTGGCAGAGTCAGTGCTAAGTGTCTTACCCTGGCGGCTCCCCCTGCTTGCTCTCCTGCCTCCTCTGGTCTCTGGCAGACTGGCCTATTGAGATGAATGCTTCTGTTTTGGGGTACACAGGCAGTCTCACTCCCTCTGAGAACTGGCCTGTGCCTTCTGTATCTTGTAAAATGGGCTTTGTAGACCAGCACTTTCTACCTATAATTCTAGATTATCTGTCTGGCCCGGGTGGGGTCACCCTACCCATACCTACTGCTTGCTAGGACTCCATGGCTTCGGCAGGGCTCCACTGTAGTGGGAGGAGCCAGGGCCCCAATCTGTGGTTGGGCCTGCCATAGATGGCCTTAGGGCCAGCTCTGGCTGATGCTTTCTGTCAGAGCTCTTCCTTCCGTCTTCCCTTCAGGGAAAGCTTCCCATACTTGTCCCTTGTCAAGGAATGAGACCCTGGTACCATTCTAGACCCCAGGGCAGGAGTCTTGCTTTGTACCTCGCTGAGGCTGATCACTTTGCAGGGTCATCAGACCCCTTGAAAGTGTGACCCCAGTGCTTCCAGCCCCAGTGATCTGTCTTCTCTGTGACCTGTCCTAGCTTAAGGTGACTTGACCACATTTTCCTTAAGAGCCATAAAACTATATGAAAACAATGCGGACGTGAACTTGGGATTTCACCATACCTTAAGAGGTAGTCTCCAGCTGAGGACCAGGAGTTGAGAGTAATCGCACATTTTGCCCACTGGATGTGGTTTCTTCTGGGCTAGAGACCTAACTCGGAGATCTAGTCCACTTATCCTGGGTCTATATAAATTAGGGTTCCCGGGTACATTAGTGACCTTTCTTTTTCATCACTATTGCAAATACTTGGTGCAAGCCACTTAGCAAAGGAAGCGTTTGTTTTGGCTCGTTTGAGGATACAGTCTCCCATAGTGGGGAAAGAGAAAGCAGCTTTGACCGGGTGTTGGGAGTCTGAGGCAGCTAGCCACACTGCACCCCCGGTGAGGGAGTAGAGGTTGGTGCTCAGCTTGCTTTTGCCATTTTTCCTTTCTCAGTCAGTCGGCACCGATGTCTATGTGCCAACTACTCAGGACGGCTCTTCCTTCCTTAATTAAACCTCCCTGGAAACACCTTGGCAGACGCCTGCAAAGGTATATCTCCTAGGTGATTTCTGGATTTCATCAGGCTGCCAAGGATGATTCACCACCACGTTTGGCCAGAGGAAGCCTGAGGCACTTTAGGCGGAGGAGAGAGTCTGACATGGAGGGGTCTCAGAGCTCACCACTCACCCCCAGCTTAGCCAAGGGCACTAGGGTACAGAGGGGCTTCAGCCCAGGCCCAAGTGTGGTTTCTCAAGGTTTACAGTGTAGCCCACCAATGCTCTGGGGATCTGCTCTTGTGGGGATGGGGAGTTGTGAGAATCTAGTAGATTGACAAGAACGTCTGAGCTGCCGAGAAGCAAACCAGGCCCCTGGTTAGGAACCAGTGTTCGCTTAGCCTCAGGGAGACTTAGGTATGGAACTTGCCTCACAGTGCTTAAATTCGTTGCACTAAGTGGTTTGGGCTTTATATGCTCTGGGGCTCTCAGTCAGGGAAGAAACCTTTTAATAAGTCATTACTAAAACCATTTGCTTTTCAACTGTTTGCATGCACGATTCCTGAAATATCTCCTTCTTAATTCTCCAGGATATTGATCTTGAGCAGTACTCCTGCCCCGTGGAGGCCCATCACCCCCGTCGTAAAGCTGCTGTGGTGAGTTGAAGGTCTGTGCAGGCACGAAGGGCTGTGGACCCCTCCTCCACCATCAAGGCCCACCCTGGAGGAAGGGGAGAGGCGTTTCTGACTCTCTGCCAGGTGGGGAGGGCCAGGGAGCTGTAAAGCATCCATGTAAAGTTGGAGAGAGAGTTCCTGGAATGTCAGAGCTTCCCATGGCAGGGCAGGGTGGGACTGTGGGGGCTTCTCTGGCCATGGCTGGGGCTAAAAGCCACCAGCTTCTGCTGCCTTGATAGCTGATACCTGGCCTGGCCCAGGGTGGAGTTGGTGGCCTCTTGTGGCATTGCTAAACCTGGGCCCAGTGTGAGTCTCAGGGCAGATTGCGTGCATGTGGCCCCTTCTTTATAAGCTCCTCATACTTTCAGGATAGTGGTAGGTGGGTGTTAGTCAAGTGCACGTCCTGCCTGGCCATCCAGGTGGCACCCCCAGGTCACTGTCCTAACAGACTTGCTTCCCATCTTCATTGTTATTGTTAGGAAACGAGCAGAGAGAGGTCATTGTGTCTGCTGTCAGGCATCACAGCCCAGCCTGGAACCAGGTGACCCCAGAGTCGACCCCAACTCTGTGGGGTGTTCTTGGGAAGTGTGGGAGAGTCTGGTGGCTTGCTGTTCTGCTAGCATTGGAAGCACAGTGGAGTCCTGTGCCTGCTGCACCCAGGGGCCCTGGCTTGTCTGTGATCAGCATCCTCTATTGCTCGCCCTGGGGAGTGGCGCTCCCAGGACAGGACGCAGTAAGGTCCCCATGGTGGTTATGTGTTAGGTGTCAGACATGGCTAAGAGCTGGGCACAGTGGCCAGAGAGGCAGAGGTGATTGGTTCCAGCTCCAGAGAGCCCCTGTCTCCCAGGAAAGGGCACAGATATCAGCCTTATATTCTTCAAAACTTTGTGTGGCTTTTTTGTGTAGCTGGCCTTTCTATCTACTTACAATCTATTTTAGAATCTGGTTTGGTGAGCGTTTTTTTAAAAGTGTGTGTGTGTGGGTGTGTGTGTGTGGATGTCTGAGGAGACCACAGGACCACCTTGGCTATGATTTTTCAGGTCCACCTTGTCTTTTTAGACAGGGCCTCTCAATGGCCATACACCATCATGCCTGGCTTTCTTATGTGTGTTCTGAGGATTGGACTCACTGCCCCCATGCTTGCAAACACATTAACTCGCCGGGCCATCTCTACAGTCTCATGTTACATATTTTTGCCCTGATGACCCCTGTGGCACATGGCATGCAAGTGTCTGCTCACTCTTTTTTTTTTTTTTTTTTTAAGTGTAGTGTGACTAGAAATGTCTGGAGGCTTGGCACTCCTCCTGTGTGAGAGAATCTTTGGGGCCCAGGAGTGTGGGCTCCATGCTGTCCATGTGGAGCTTGGGAGGTGCCGTGGCCTACTGAAGGGTGAGAGGGCTCTTCTCCACTGAGGGATGGGAAGGGACTCCAGGCTCCTTCAGCGATGTTTGTGAGTTCAGCCTTGGAGCAGAGGACCAACCTTCAGTGGTCAGATGGAGCCCCAGCCCCAGGAATGGAGGTATTTGAAGTCTGGGAATTTTGTTTTCTGGCAACTTCAACTTCCTAACGTGTGGGTGGCCTTCCTATACACTTACCCATAAAACCCAAGCAACCCATAGCTGTCTTAAAGGGGCAGGGGAGTGAGGTGAGTGGAACTGACTGTGAAGAATCTCTTTCTCCTGCAACATTCCACCCAGCAGTTGCAGTGTTTTTGAGGAAGAAGGCGGCAGGAAGCAATGATGGGTGGGAGGCTAGACACTGAGCCTGCCCAGGATCTGTGGTTGATGTAGGGGGAGACATGGTCCCCACTATTCCAGAAAAGAGGATTTGGAGTGTCCTTTTGCTCCTACTGTTTTGAGGCAAGGATTTGCTGTGTGGCTCAAACTCACAGCAGTCCTCCTGCCTCTTAGCTGCTGAGATTACAGCCAGGCTCCATCATGTCAGGCTGGAGCGTCTTCTTTCATACGGCCTCAGTGAGCTCCGAGGTACCCATGTCCTGCTGTTCACGCCAGGATTGGGTGTCTTTTCCTGGGGCCAACTCAGCAGACTTTGGCGGTGTGTCTCAGAGAACTCATGAGCCACGGGACTGGCAGCCCACAGTCTTCCGATGGGTCTTGCTGCTGTGGGAAATGCAGCCCTTTTCTTTCTGGGTCTCCGCCCGCACTGATAGCAATTGACTGTTGCCCGTTATGATTCCCCGCAGAAATGGGAATAGCAGCCCAGAGTCTTAAAACAATGTCCTTTGATCTGAAAATTCCAGGAAATAAAACACCTTTGCAGTTGTGGAGTCCAGACGGGACCTTGTTTCCAGAGGGCCTGAAGCTGCTGCCCTGGACCTGCAGGTCTCGGGTACAGTCTGGCTCCCTCCTGCTTGGTTGTCTGACTGAGCTGGGGCAGTGAACGAGGCAAGCTCTCATGTCAGTTACTCAGTAGTCCTAACAGGACCCAGCACTAAGCAAGAGACTCTATGGTTCTCCTCTCCTCACCTCTCCCATGGCTAAACCACCCTCCCTTCATGGTAGGCATCTGTGTGAAGTGTGAATCGTCTGCCAGAACCAGCCATGCAGGGACAGAACCAGCCATGCAGGGACAGAACCAGCCATGCAGGGACAGAACCAGCCATGCAGGGACAGAACCAGCCATGC